ATAAGTAGTCCGCCAATCCAATTTTAGCCCCTGGTTTATGTTCAATTCGAAAATCAAAGGGAATTAGTCGATCTAACCAGCGCGTTAAACGGCTAAACATCGTTTTTTTTTTAATACCATTCAAAATGGGATATTAGGGCTTTATGATCGGTAACGATCAAAAAACTTCGGCCCAGGATGTAATTTCTAAAGTATTCAGCCCCCCACACAACTGCCAACATCTCCAATTCGTTTGTTGAATATTTCTTTTCCGCTTCGTTAAGATATCGCGAGGCAAACGAAATTGGGTGCCAACCCTTCTGGTCCTAACTGTTCCAATACCGCGTCAAACCCGTTGTGGCTTGCATCGCACACTATACGAATATCCTTGTGGATATCAAAATGCCGTAATTCAACAATGTTCGAAACTTGTTACTTAAGATTTTCGAACGCGTTCTGGCATTCAGGTGTCCAAATGTATTCATTACTTTTGCTTAGTTGGGGTCGCAGAAGCGCAGATGATTCGGCCAATGCCGGTAAATACTTGTGCAGACTGTGGATTGACCCCATGAACGATTTTAATTGCGACAAAGTCCGCGGCGGCGTTAGCGCCTCTATTGGTTCTGTTTTCCTAACCAATGGAGTGATTCCAGTCGGGGTTATTTTATGGCCCAGCCATTCGCATTCTCGTTGGGCGAATTTCCATTTTGTTAATTTTAGGGACCTATTTTCACGATCCAGTTTCTTTAAAATTTTCTCTACCGTCGCTATATGGTCTATCGCAGTTCCCTTGGTTACAACCAAAATATCGTCGATTAGAGCGTGCGCCTGCGGGTATTCGGCGAGTATGCAATCCATTGCGCGTTGGAATTCCGCGGGCATTGTAGTTAGATCATCGAATCCGGTCTTGAACCGGTACGTACCCGTCGAGCGGCCTCCAATGAGAGAAAAATTGCACTTTACGCTCGTTTCAGCGTTTAAGGGCAGTTGGCCATATGCGTATGTTAAATCCATTGTTGTGAAATATATGTCTCCCTGTTTTTTCTCACTAATCGTTTGCCCAACTGTGTCCATTAGCTCCTCGATATTCGGCATTTGATATTTATTCTTATGCACTTGTTTATTTAATTCCCTCGACTCGAGTGCCAATTTCACGGACCCATCCTTTTTTACTGTTATTACTATTGGGGACACAAAATATTTTTCCGAGCATTCTGTTAGTTTTTCGATATGACCCTGTTGCAATAGTTTATCAATTTTAGCATCCATTTTTTCTTGCAACGAAATCGGAACTCGACGCCCCTTCTGTTGTACTGGGGTGAGGTTTTCAAAAAATTCTGCTTGTACTTTGTAGTTTCTTATTTTTCCTACCCTGCTAAAAAGGTTTGAAAACTGCTTACTGAAATAGGTTTGCCATGAATCCAACTCCCCCTCCGGTTCCAGTGAGTCCTGGTTGCCTTCTTCAATGGACATTATCTGTTCCCCTGGTGATTGTTGCACCAACTGGAGTCCTAATTGGGGCATCAGATCTCTTCCAATTTTTGATGGTCGGTTCCCTCCGATTACTTTTTATCCTCGCGTGTATCTTCCAGCCGTTTGATTGTATTGTTACCGCAATTGTTCCAATCATCTGTAGTGGATTGTTTCCATAATCCCGAAAAGCATTGTCCTCCTCCGTAAGATAATCCAATTTTACTCCTGACGTTCCCAAAGTCTTACGCAATTCCCCAATATCGATCCCGCTATCGATCCACACTCGAGTGGGTTTCCCATTGACTTTAATCGGCAATTGTGCCCCAGAAACTTTTAATTCTGTGACTCTTTTTTGTTTTATCGCCATGACCATATAGTCCCCGTCTGAGGTGCTCGAGTCCCACGAGTGCACCACTGGATTCTTATTAACCCATCCAATGGAACTTGCATGTTGTGACGCTTCTCCATCCGCCGAGTTTTCCAGATGACCATCGTCAACATTCTCCCGTATCATTCCTACGGCTCCCTGTCCCCGCTGGTTTCCACGCTTCCCCCTACAGGTACGTTCGAAATGGCCAATTTTGTGGCAAAAATTGCATGTAACGCCTTTTGCGGGGCATCTGTCCAAATGTTCCCTGGTGAAATTTTGTTGATCGCAGTTATAGCATTTATTGATATTGGGAAAGTTTCTACCTCGATTCGATCCTCGCCCTCGGTAAGAGCCCCGGCCCCTTACACGATTGTTCCGATAACCTCCACGGATTATTCCGACTGGTTCCGATTTTTATCTGGATCCCTCCGCCTCCTGACGTCGATCCTTGGGCCCCCACTGATCCCGTGGCAACATATGATGATGCATACTTGTTTCCCCTCTCGTACGAGAGAGCTATCCGGTACACTTCCTCTGGTTTTTTCGTCGACCTGCATAGTTCCTTTTGTGCATCACGGTTATTCATGTTGACAATGAATACGTCTCTCAGTATCCGGTCCTCTAGTGTTCCAAAGTTGCACCGCGCCGCCAATCCGCTTAGTACGGAATGGAATTGCTCCAATCTTTCATTGATATACTGCTTACGGGAATGAAGTTGGTATGTCTCATATGTCTCATTTCTTTCTTTCTTAAATTCCGTTTCCAGTGCGTGCGTCTATCGTTCGTGGGTAACGAATCGTCGAGAGATCCAGATGCGGTCGTCTTTTGTGAAGTTCGTCCTGCCCTTTTTCCCCCAGATACAAATACAGGTTCGAAATCAACACTTGTTCCGATTGCAGTCGATTTTTCCCGTCTACTTCCTCGGGCAGTCAGTAACTTGGGCGGCTGTGAGAGTTGCGGCGTAGTAAAAGTTCCTCGGGTTTAGAGAGTGCTTGGCGACCATTGCCCATTGGAATCTGTTAATCCAAAATTCCCACATCATTGGCGGTTCCGTGCATTTCGCTGGCCAAAATCCCGTGATGCCCAGTGGATTCTTTCCCCACCTGAGACAGCTGGCTGCGCCATGTTGAAAATTTAAACCGATAGTCATCTAATTGTTAATTCCGATACAAGAGATAGTCAACTTAATCTTACAAAGTTAGCATAGAGAGTGGTTGAGAACAGTATCCAAGGGTGACAGACTGTTCCAAGGACAAACACCTGCTAATCAATTAGTCTAGCACCGAGAGTGAACATTTGATTGACAGCTTCCAAAATGAACTAAATTACTCTATACAACAAACACATACAACAAATTGAAACACATTTTGATGTTTGAATCTTGTTAACTATCAAAAATAAAAACTTTCTTAAACGAGAAAACTATTAATTTAAACGGCATTTATTGCGCTATTGAGCAGGTTGAACTATTTCTTGAGATATGCCAAGTAAATTAAATTTTGAAATTTGCTTAGTTTTATAACAAAAATTGATTAATATGTATATGGCTGTGAAGGCCCGTTTTCAAGAAATTCAGTGGGCAAAAGTTGTGGCATGCTTTTTTGACAGAATTAGATATACGTTTTCATCTAAGAACAAAAAAAACAGATCTGATTTCACTGAAAAGCTTTTTTGTGATTCTTGATAGGACTCAATATAAGCAAAAAATTTGTTTATGTTATAGGCAAAAATTTGAAGTTTAAAAAAGCAGAGTTTCAAAAGTTTTAACAAGGAAATTTGAAAGATTTTAGAAGTTCATTTTTATTGAAAAATGCTTATCATACAGTTTTCATATAAGAAAATGTTATGATACGCATTTTGTGCACAGATTTCATAAATAGAAATGTATGATATGCATTTTTTGTATGAAGATCACAGAGGGTAATTTGTGGCAGACATTTCTCTACAAAATACTAATAGTGTCGAAGTTTCAACGATTTTTCAGAAACGGTATTTGAAAGCAAAATAATCTGTTATCTGGTTTCCGAAAAGTTCTTTGTAGTTTCCGCAGGTTGCTTATTGAGCAAATATCTGGAGCTATGCGATCCCGCACCGAGCGCTCATGGATCATAATCGATTATATTGTCATTATGTCGACAGTGTCTATAAAATTACAAAAGTAGTCGTTTATAATTCATTGAAAATCTATTATATTGATACTATTTTTCGAAGCAATAAAATCCATTATAATTGATTATAATGATGCTATTTTCGCAGCAATAAAATCCATTGTAATCGATTACATTCATTTTTTTTGAATTTGTTCCCAAAATTTAAGTTTAGTTAATCTATTTTCAATCAATTATAATCCATTATCGTTCAACAAACGTCATCCTCAAATCTCCAAATGCAGTTTATCTGCGTGCTACCTGCCAGTTACCCTCTGGGTTTTCTATGACAAAAAATCCAGGGCTAGTGTTTCGGATGAAACACAAAGTTTCAAAACAAAAATTTTTTGGTCTTTTTATTTATGGAAAAAATGCTTGTCATACAATTTCATAATATGGAAAAAATGCTTATCATACAATTTCATAGTATGGAAAAAATGCCTATTTTGCTACTTTCATACACTTACTTTTCTCTTTGAAATTATATGAAAGTGCATGATAAGCTTTTTTTTCATATATGAAAATTGTATGGCAAGCATTTTTTGTCAACCCGGGTTAAAAGGGATTATTTTTGGTCAGAAATCCTTTATAACCAATTAAATTCCATGAACGCTCGGCTATGTTTTAGTCCATTGTCCTTGGATCCCGCTACCACAACAGCCAAAAGATCATAAATAAACATTTTTGAGGATTGCAAGACAAAGTTTACCTGGCATTGCTGCGGAAAACCACTCTTAGTTCAACAAACACACGTTTAAGCCTCGTATTGAGACCCGCATTTTGCATGCGCGCATCCTTGAGAAAATTGTAAATGCCGCCCATGAAAATCAAGATATACACTTTAGCACTAGATCGTTGGGTACCACTCCGAAATAGTAAAAGAGAAATCAGTCTATCGTAAAGTACATAATTTATGTTTAAAAATAGTGTGTATGTATGATTTCAACATCAAGTGACGGAGTTTCGGTCAATCTTTTTGACGTCATGATGGACTGTCCGTTCCTAATGATTAATGATCCGTTCTTATTGGCAAACCATCGAGTTGGGATTGTCATAGCCGTGATTTTAATAAAATTTGTTTTTTCCCTGATCCGATTAAATGGTTTCATGTGGGCAGCTGGCTTTGGATTTCAAAAACCAACCAAAAAAAGCAAATGATGTGATGCTCATGATGAACGCCTTTAACTTGCTCTTTTATATGAACGCGGCCACTTTCGAGGAGAACAAACTGTCTCCGGAAATGAAGCTACGCAGAAACTTGACCCAATATTACGACTTTTCGGCGCGGCCTGTAATGTCACCACGAACAGCTATAAATGTAACATTTGAAGTTATGTTGTACCAATTGGTCGGTATCGATCCTAAAGACCAGACTATAACAATGCTGATGTTTCAATGTCTTTCCTGGACCGACGAGTTCCTTCAATGGGATCCAGCAGAATACGACGGCATAGAAACGCTTCGCTACTATCGCTACTGGATTTGGACTCCGGACATCCTTCCATACAATGACGTCGGAAGTTTCGATTTAGAGAAATATGATTTCTCAATTCCAATTAAGGTTAATTACAACGGGACAGTTGCGTGGATGCGGCCGGTGGAATATGAAACGACGTGCTCGTTGGATGTCACTAGGTTCCCATTTGACGTGCAGGAATGCGACCTTGTGATTGGATCTTGGCAGTATTTCGAACATGAAGTCAGCCTAAACTGTGCTCCGATTGATTTTTCCTACTACATTGAAGACAGTCTGTGGTCGCTTGAAAGTAAGATTGGCGTGAGATTTGAGTGTCAACTCTATTCTGAATCCGCCTTCCAGGATTACTAGTTTCATAAAAACACTTTTAAAAAAAATTTTTGTGAACATTTTAAAATTCCTCGTTGAAAAAACGATGACAAATGATTATTAGTTTTTTCAGAGCCTCAACTTGGTAAAGAAACATTTGAATATACAATTCACGTCTGCAATAGTTTTTTCGACTCAGAGATTGCTATGTGCGTTCTATGACAAAAAACTCGAATTTTTAGGTCAAACAGTTTAATATGAAAATGAGCGATACGTGAGTGCTTTAATCAGCAAGCGTGTTTATATCATAAATTGCATTCTTAAAATTAAGAACCCAGGTAAATAAAAGCGTTTCGTAGCAGCCCAAATGATGTTGCTGCACTTGATTCAAATAAAGGACATTTGCCATTTTAGGCGCCATCTGCAAGAGAGAAGTTATGGACAGCTCAGACGGTATCCACTCATGCGGCCGAATATCTGTGTCTGTCGTATACAAAAGACTATCTTTATTCTACGTTGAAAACCTCATTCTGCCCAACGCACTTCTGTTTGCATTGAGTTCATTGACCTTTTTCATTCCGGGCGATAACGGTGAAAAAATAAGTTTCGGGGTGACAGTAACTCTTGCCCTCTGTGTTAATTTGACCTTGGTCACCTCTTTTGTTCCGCAAACTTCGACGACCTTTCCTCGAATCTGCACTTATTTTTTCCTGAGCATCGTTGTCTCTTGCATATCGATATTACTGGCGACATTTTCGGTCAACTTTGATTGCAGAAAAATCACTGATGAGACTTACACAGTTAGTACTCCCAGCTCAAGTCTGACCACTTTATCGGAAAATGTAAACAATGCCAATACTTTCTCACTAGCAAGCAAACCGAAAGAGCCACAGAAAACATCAAGCAAACTATGTCAAAAAGCTCTCTTCGCAAAATAGACGCACTCATGGGAATTTTGTACCTCGTCGGAACTGTTTTTATTCATGATTTTCATGCAAGAGTGACCCTGGAGCACAATAAACTGTATGTGGCATTGATTGATCTCTCTGAAAATCAGGATTAGAATGCGAATCAACTTGAAAACTCTAGACATACAATTTTCATGCAATTCCATAAGTACAGAAAATGGCATGACAGGTCTATGATAAGTGATTTTTCATATATGGAAATTGCATGACTAGAATTTTTTCAAAAACCAAAAAAAAAAATCGAATTCTCAAAAAAATCATAAAATTTTTGGGATGTGTTCGTAACCGGAGTTTATTCAAAACTAGAGTCACCAAAGGTTGCACCGTCTTGCTTTCACAATGCATTGGAAACGACCTGAATCGTTTAGAAATTGTCTTACACAAATAAAATACTGAAAATATCAAACTTCTAAATTTTGGCAAAAGTTTTCGGAGACGTCATTTTTTAAAATTTGAATTTTTCATTACTCATTAATCAAGGCATAAACAAACATGCCATACAAAAGAAATAGGAGTTTTGAACATTTTTGAAAAAAAAAATTCTGAAAAATGGAAAAAAGAATCCACTTTTGGTGTATCCAGGACTACGTTATGCACACAAAAATTTTCATTTTGCGTGCAAAGTTTTTTTGGAGAATGTTTGGTTGACTGCAAAGTTTTTTTGCGGTTGAAAAAATGAAACACAAAATTTTTGGGGCAATTTCAAAATTACTTTTCTCGCCATCAAAAAAATATTAGTCTTACAATTTCCATATATTATATGACTAGCATTTTTTTGACAAATTTTTTTATTTAGTATGATACACCACTTTTTTGCCAAAAAAAGAAAAAAATTCTTTGAAATTTCGATGACACCATTTTAGCAAAATGTTTGAAAATTTTATGATTATAATTTTTTTATACATTTTGCTTATGGAATTGTATGATTTGCAATTTTGATTTATAAAGGTCAACCCGGGATGATTCTTTTCGCTTTTCAGTTCAATTTGATTTTTGCTGATAACCTTTCTAAAACTTATTTGATTGGAATAGCAAATAGCATAACAAAACAAACTGTTTGAAATCAATCTTTATTAATTGATACTTAAATTTGTGAACAATATTAGCTGCCCGAGCAGTGTGTTTTTGTTCCGACTTTCGATACGAAAGTTACGGAATGCTTGTGCTCGGGATGGTTTTTTTTCTTCAGACAAATTTCAAACTTTTAACTAGCCATTTTTGACGGAAATTTTTTATATCATTCAAAAAGTATTGTTGTCCTGAGCTTAAATTTGAAAAGATTTTTCACCTGTGATCATTTTTCGTAAAGTTATGGGGGTTTAAAGATTGCCATTTTGGCCATTTTGGGACAATTACCGCGCGATGTATTTCGCGCTAAAGCGGAGATGTAATCCGTCTTAGCTATCGTTCCAAATTGGTGGAAAAAAGCTTATTCGCCCTAATTGATTTGTTACAGGGAGCGAAATCTATTCTTTTGTACTTTATATGGCGTGTGGGAGGATGATTTTCCCTAAATTTTTGATTTTTTTTCTTCGTTTTATTTTATTACATTTAATTTTATAATTGCTGTTACTGACCCATAAACCTTAAAAGGCAGTCGGAACATTCAGGGCTTCGCCCTGATACGAGCAGTCTTGTTATTTTTTATGTCATATCTGCGGCTGTCTAATTTTTGCAGTCCCAAATCAAGTTACCGTTTAAATTAATTGTTCCGACTTTCGATACGAAAGTAACGAAATATGGCTCTTTTCTTTACCCCCCCCCCCTCCCACCTCACATAAGAGTCAGTTTTATGGTGAAACGAGGGGTTTTACAAGGTTAATTCTGAAGACCAAAAATGTTTGTCATGGCCTAATTTGTTCGCTTGCCAATTTTTGTAACATTCGGATAAAGTGAACAAAACTTCACTAGTAAAATTTTGCAGGTGGGGGGGGGGAAAGGAAAAAGAGCCCGGAATATTTGTACTCGGGGTGGGTTTTTTTTTCTTCAGACAAATTTCGTCTTTTTAACTAGCCATTTTTGACAAAGTTTTTATAGCATTCAAAAGATATTGTTGTCTTGAGCTTAAATATAAAAAGATACTTCACCTGTGATCATTTTTTGTAAAGTTATGAGGGTTGAAATATTGCAAATTTGGCCATTTTGACCAATTTAGGACAATTAACGCGCGATATAATTCGCGCTATTAACGTGTAAGCGAGATTTAATCCGTCTTAAAAATTGTTCCAAATTGGTTGAACGAAGCTTATTTGCCTTAATTGATTTGTTACAAGGAACGAAATCGATCTTTTTGTACTTATATGGCGTGTGGGGTGATGAATTTCATAAAAAATTTCAAATTTTAGAAAAAAAAATTTTATTTTATTTTATTTCATTTTTTTTTTTTATGTGATTACTGCTGCTCCATGAACCTTAAAAGGCAGTCGAAATATTCAGGGCTTGGCCCTGATACAATTAGTCCTGTTCAATTTTAATAATTGAACCATGCTAAGTGGTTGAATTAATTCCATTTATTCCAAATTTTATTTGATTGGAATAGCAAATAGCATAACAAAACAAACTGTTTGAAATCAACCTTTATTAATTGATACTTAATTTGTGAACAATATTATCTGCCCGAGCAGTCTGTTTTTATTCCGACTTTCGATACGAAATTAACGGAATTTTTGTGCTCGGGGTGGTTTTTTTTCTTCAGACAAATTTCGACTTTTTAACTAGCCATTTTTGATGGAAATTTTTTATATCATTCAAAAAGTATTGTTGTCCTGAGCTTAAATTTGAAAAGATATTTCACCTGTGATTATTTTTTGTAAAGTTATGGGGGTTTAAATATTGCCATTTTGGCCAATTTGGGACAAATAACGCGCGATATATTTCGCGCTAAAGCGGAGATTAAGTCCGTCTTAGAAATCGTTCCAAAGTGGTGGAAAGAAGCTTATTCGCCATAATTGATTTGTTACAAGGAGCGAAATCTATTCTTTTGTACTTTATATGGCATGTGAGAGGATGATTTTCCTTAGTTTTTTGATTTTTTTTCTTCGTTTAATTTTATTACATTTACTTTTATAAATGTTTTTTATGCCCCGTAAACCTTAAAAGGCAGTCGGAACATTCAGGGCTTCGCCCTGATACGAGCAGTCTTGTTATTTTCTATGTCATATCTGCGGCTGTCTAATTTTTCCAGTCCCAAATCAAGTTACCGTTTAAATTAATTGTTCCGACTTTCGATACGAAAGTAACGGAATATGGCTCATTTCCTTCCCCCCCTCCCACCTCACATAAGAGTCAATTTTATGGTGTAACAAGGGGTTTTACAAGGTTAATTATGAAGACCAAAAATGTTTGTCATGGCCTAATTTGTTCGCATGCCAATTTGTGTAACATTCGGATAAAGTGATCAAAACTTCACTAGTAAAATTTTGCAGGTGGGGGGGGGAAGGAAAAAGAGCCCGGAATATTTGTGCTCGGGGTGGGTTTTTTTTTCTTCGACTTTTTAATTTTTGACTTTTTATCTAGCCATTTTTGACAAAATTATTTATAGCATTCAAAAGGTATTGTTGTCTTGAGCTTGAGTATGAAAAGATACTTCACCTGTGATCATTTTTCGTAAAGTTATGAGGGTTTAAAGATTGCCAGTTTGGCCATTTTGACCAATTTGGGACAATTAACGCGCGATATAATTCGCGCTATTAACGCGTAAGCGAGATTTAATCCGTTTTAAAAATTGTTCCAAATTGGTTGAACGAAGCTCATTTGCTATAATTGATTTGTTACAAGGAACGAAATCGATCTTTTTGTACTTATATGGCGTGTGGGGTGATGAATTTCATAAAAATATTCTAATTTTAGAAAAAAAAATTTATTTTATTTTAATTCATTTAATTTTTTAATGTAATTACTGCTGCTCCATGAACCTTAAAAGGCAGTCGGAATATTCAGGGCTTTGCCCTGATACGATTAGTCTTGATCAATTTTAATAATTGAACCAAGCTAAGTGGTTGAATTAATTCCATTTATTCCAAAACTTATTTGATTGGAATAGCAAATTGCATAAGAAAACAAACTGTTTGAAATCAACCTTTTTTAATTGATACTTAAATTTGTGAAAAATTTTATCTGCCCGAGCAGTCTGTTTTTGTTCCGACTTTTGATACGAAAGTAACGGAATCTTTGTGCTCGGGGTGGTTTTTTTTCTACAGACAAATTTCGACTTTTTAACTAGCCATTTTTGATGGAAATTTTTTATATCATTCAAACAGTATTGTTGTGCTGACCTTAAATTTGAAAAGATATTTTACCTGTGATTAATTTTTGTAAAGTTATGGGGGTTTAAATATTGCCATTTTGACCAATTTGGGACAAATAACGCGCGATATATTTAGCGCTAAAGCGGAGATTTAACCCATCTTAGAAATTGTTCCAAATTGGTGGAAAGAAGCTTATTCGCCATAATTGATTTGTTACAAGGAGCGAAATTTATTCTTTTGTACTTTATATGGCGTGTGAGAGGATGATTTTCCTTAGATTTTTGATTTTTTTTCTTCGTTTTATTTTATTACATTTAATTTTATAAATGTTTTTACTGCCCCATAAACCTTAAAAATTTTTGTCTTGGCCTAAGTTGTTCGCACGCCAATTTTTGTAACATTCGAACAAAGTGAACAAAACTTCACTAGTAAAATTTTGCACGTGGGGGGAAAGGAAAAAGAGCCCGGAAAATTTGTGCTCGGGGTGGGTTTTTTTTCTTCAGACAAATTTGACTTTTTAACTAGCCATTTTTGGCAAAAGTTTTTATAGCATTCAAAAGGTATTGTTGTTTTGAGCTTAAATATGAAAGGATACTTCACCTGTGATAATTTTTCGTAAAGTTATGAGGGTTTAAAGATTGCCATTTTGGCCATTTTGACCAATTTGGGACAATTAATGCGCGATATATTTCGCGCTATTAACGCGTAAGCGAGATTTAATCCGTCTTAGAAATCGTTCCAAATTGGTGGAAAGAAGCTTATTTGCCGTAATTGATTTGTTACAAGGAGCAAAATCTATTCTTTTGTACTTTATTTGGCGTGTGAGAGGATGATTTTCCTTAGATTTTTGATTTTTTTCTTCGTTTTGTTTTATTACATTTAATTTTATAAAGGTTTTTACTGCCCCGT